AATGTTTTACTGCCAGATTCAACAGGCATCATGAGAAAGTGCCTCAGAATACATGGGACCTTCTTCTCAACTCCCAAATTCTATCTAGGCCGAGTTTTCAAGCGTATTAGATGTATGAAGCACATCCAAGGAAGTTTACAAGTCAAGAAGAACTCAGTAGGACCATGAAAACTTGGCCAAATTCACTTCCTGCCTTAGGAGGTAGGATGACTGCTACAATTAACAGACCGTTAAAGCCCAACCATACTACAACAAGATAGTATCCACCATCTTTCCGTTTAAAAGGTTCAATTCCATTCCTCCTTTCTCTCCACCGCCAGTAACAAACAGAAAAAGGGAAATCATTGCCAGAGACAATGACATGCCTATAGGACTACCTCTCCCTAAACATAAATGAGCTAAAGACCAGCTATTTCCTTTTTTCTTTTTCTTTTTTTGAGATGGAGTTTCGCTCTTCTTGCCCAGGCTAGAGTGCAAACTGCACTCTAATTTTACAAATTAATATACAAAACTGGCTAATTTTGTATATTTAGTAGAGACCGGGTTTCTCCATGTTGGCCAGGCTGGTCTTGAACTCATGACCTCAGGTGATCCACCTGCCTCAACCTCCCAAAGTGCTGGGATTACAGGCGTGAGCCACCGTGCCCAGCAATTTTTTGTATTTTTGTAGAGATGGGGTTTCACCATGTTGCCCAGGCTTATCTCAAACTCCTAAGCTCAGGCAATCCGCCCGTCTCAGCCTCCCAAAGTGCTAGGGTTACAGGCGTGAGCCACTATGCCCAGCTGACAGATTATATTTCTATAGCTTCATCAATCTTCTAGTGTCAACATCAATATACATAAACTGGAGAAAATTCTAAGGCAGACCTTTCTATTCATAGGTCTCAATGAGCGGAAAAATAATTATAACTCTACCTTCTATCAGAAACCTATTTTGAGCCATGTCTCATTATGAAATTTCTAGGCCACAGACATTTTCCAAAATAATCTGGATTCTAAATAAGTTTATTAAAAAAGAGTAACATTTTACTGCCCTACGATCTCTTTACCTTATTTATGTACAGTTAACAATCTAGAAAAAGGAAACTGACCAAACAGCAAAAGCAGAATAACTAAAACCTGGAAGCCACCAAGATGTCCTGCAATAGGTGAACAGGTAAACAAACTGATACATCCACACAAGGGAACTTTATCTGACAATTAAAGAAATGAGCTATCAAGCCACAAAAAGACATGAATTAATCTTGAATTCACCTTGCTAAGTGAAGGAAGCCAGTCTGAAAGGGCTACATACTGTATGATTTTAATTACGTGATATTCTGGAAAAAGCAAAACTGCAGAGACGGTATACTAAAAAGATCAGTAGTTGCCAGGGAGAAGTGGGGACAGTTGAACAGGTGAGGCACAAGAGATCATTTAGGACAATGAAACTATTCTGTTTATATTGTAATGACAGATACATGTAATGACAGATGTTGTAACGACAGATACATTCAATTCCAATATACATGTGTAGTGGTATCAGAATTATTAACCCGTATCCCCACCCCCCTCCCGTGGGAGCCTGTCAAATAGAATATGGTGCTTATGTGCCATTTCTTTTGCCTTGCGTCTGACTCCATTCATTTCTAGAGTTATGTAGGTCTCCCATCCGCTTCATTGACTTGTTTCATATATTCATAATGCAGTTACTTTGTGTTGTCACATTCTGCATTCTATCCTGAGATCCCCCAACCTCCTAAATGATTTTTTAAAATTCACGTACACTAAGGCTTACTCTTTGTGCTGTAAAGTTCTGTGGGTTTTGACAAATGCATAACATCATGTATCTGTCGTTACAAAGTAAACAGAATAGTTCCATTGTCCTAAATGATCTCTTGTGCCTCACCTGTTCAACTGTCCCCACTTCTCCCTGGCAACTACCGATCCTTTCAGTATACTATCTCTGCAATTTTGCTTTTTCCAGAATATCACATAATTAAAATCATACAGTATGTAGCTCTTTCAGACTGGCTTCTTTCACTTAGCAATTATGTAAAGAACGAATGACAGCAGGAGACAGGTTTCTCACTGTTGGAGTGAAAGGTTACAGACAAGCAAAAGGAGAAGGCTAGCAGGCTCCATGTGGTAATGGATTAAAGCTGGAGACATCAGTATGAACTTATACTGAGTATAGTACAATATATACAGCTACATATAGAAATATTTAAACATGCACATATATACTGGTTAAATATACACACACGTATTTTCTTTTCTGTGAACTCTACAGAGAAGTATATACACATATATTTTCTTGCTGTCAGCTATGAGGGTGACACCCAGGAGCAACGAGCATACCTAGCAAAGGAGGAAGAAGGGAAAAGGGGGGAGGGGGAGGGCAAGGGGGAGAGGTGAGGAGGAAGAGGAAAGAAGGAAGAGGAGGAGGAGAAGCAGCAGCAGAAGCACCAGTAGTAGCAGTAGCTGTAGTAGTAGCAGCGGCGGTAGTAGTAGTAGTGGTAGCGTTAGTAGTAGCGGTAGCGGTAGTAGTAGTAGCAGCAGTAGTAGTAGCAGCGGTAGTAGTAGTAGTGGTAGCAGTAGTAGTAGCGGTAGTAGTAGTAGCAGCGGCAGTAGTAGTAGCGGCGGTAGTAGTAGTGGTAGCGGTAGTAGTAGCGGTAGTGGTAGTAGTAGTAGCAGTAGTAGTAGTAGCAGCGGTAGTAGTAGTAGCGGCAGTAGTAGCAGTAGCGGTAGTAGTAGCGGTAGTGGTAGCGGTAGCGGTAGTAGGGGCGGTAGCAGTAGTAGCGGCAGTAGTAGCGGTAGTAGTAGCGTTAGCAGTAGTAGCAGTAGTAGCAGTAGCGGCGGTAGTAGTAGTAACGGCAGTAGTAGTGGTAATAGTAGCAGTAGTAGTACTAGTAGTAGTAGCAGTAGTAGTAAGCATCTTTCAGTGTCAGAAAGCACGTACCAAAAAAAAAATCCACAACGATTGGAGTATGTCAAAGGGACATGGGGTCCAAGTGAAAGATTTGAGACTAGTCAAAGCTGAAATAATTTGAGTACCAAAATAAAGTAATATTGAATTATAAGCCAAACTATAAAATAAATACCCATGAGTACATGCTGATATAAATAAATGACTGAATAAATAAACAAATGGGGGAGAAGAGAGGACTCTCTGGCATAAAAGAATTCCAAATAATGTCTGAAGATGCCGTGTCCTCAAGGAAAGGGAGCATAACTCCTCATTCCTTGGGTGTGGGCTGCACGGAGTGATTTCCTTACAAAGAGTATAGACGTAAAAGGGGAAGAAAGAGTCACTTTACAGAGGAGAAACTTGACATACACTACTTTAGCCAGGTGATCAAAGTGAACATCAGAAGTTATAAACCATGGTGATAATATATACACTTGACACAAAGTGACAAAAATGGTGCTTTACCTTTGTTGTCTTCCGCCCCCAAACATATAACCCCAGTCTAATCATGAGAAAAACATCAAGTATCAACTGAGGGACATTCTACAAAATACCTAGGTCATCAAAAACAAGGGAGGTCTGCGAAACTGTCAGAGCCAAGCAGAAACGTGACCACCAAATGTGATGTGATATGCCGACGGGATCCTGGAACAAGGACATCAGGTAAAAACTAAGGCAATCTGAATAAAATGTGGACTTTGTTTAATGATAATGCATCAACATTGGTTCATTAATTGTAACAAATGTACCATACCAATGTAAGATGTTAATAATGGGGGAAAAATATGTAGAAAAAAAAATAATATGAATTGATAATAAGGGTCATCTCCAAGTGCATGGAAGATTATAAACTGCCTGACTATTTGACCTTCTAACAAATCAACAATTTCTGGTAAAGAAGAAAAGATTTTCACACTGGGCAACATAGTGAGACTTTGTCTCTACTAAAATAAAAAAACTAGCCAGGCATAGTGGCATAAACCTGTAGTCCCAGCTACTCAGTAGGCTGAGGTGGGAGGATCGCTTGAGCCCCCTTCAAGGCTGCAGTGAGCTGTGATCATTGCACTCCAGCCTGAGTGACAAAGCAAGACTATATCTCAAAAATAAATAAAGTAAAATAGAAAAGGTTAAGTCTAAATGGAGAAAGTCATTTTCTATCCAAGCATTTTACAGTTTTTCTAAGGATACGGAAGTCACAATTGAATTTCAGTCTCACATTTGCAAACACTGTCATTTCAGATCCTTGTTTCATATGCACCAAAGGAAATTACCTTGAAATACATTAAAACATTTATTTTTAGGCCAGGTGCAGTGGCTCATGCCTCTAATCCCAGTACTTTGGGAGGCTGAGGCAGGTGGATCACTTGAGGTCAGGCAAGATTGCACCATTGCACTCCAGCCTGGGCAACAAGAGCGAAACTCCATCTCAAAAAAAAAAAAAAAAATTTTTTTTTTTTTTTAAATTTAGCTGTTTATTCACTTGAATCAGGCATCTCCAAAACTTAAAATGTTGGCCAGGTGTCACACCACAAGCTCTGGAACAAGAATCCTCTGGAACAGCCCACGTGCAGGTTCAACTCAGACACTACTACCAACATCAGTTATGAGATTTAAGTTTTGTTTTTTCTTTTTCTTTTTTAGACACGAAATCTCGCTATTTTGCCCAGACTAGTCTTGAACTCCTGGACTCAAACGATCTTCCTGCCTCAACCTCTCAAGCAGCTGAAATTATAAGTGCAAGCCACCAAGCCCAGTAGTACTGGATTTAAAACATTGCTGTTAGTCTCAGTAAATTCTGGGCAGACTTTTCCTGAAGGAAGTGGTAAGAGAGGGCAGCAAGCTCATTTGCATCTCTAACAGCTTATTTCCCTTCCCTTAACATCTTGAAGAACTAGGCTTGGAGGAAGAGAGAACCATGTTGTATTTTTGTGAAGCTTAGCCAGCATCCACTGTACTGGAGTAACAAAGCACTGGTTTAAAGAACAGCAGTGCTTATAGCTTATAGCCCTGAGGCCAGATTGAGAAGAAATATCAACTTGACCCTACTTACAGGAGTTGTGTCGACGACGGAAACTTTTGGACTGACTCAAGGATTCCATGTGCCTGTCGACATAGCTCTTTGAGCACTGTTGCTGCTGGGGGGAAACGGCAGCATCTTGGCTCTTCACATCTGTCCTCTTAGGGATATTCTGAGGGGCACTGCTGGAAGAGGCTGGCTTCTTGACCAACTTGCCTGTGCCATTCTGATTGATGCCCACTTGGCAGCCAACACCAGAGGGGCCTAATTCTGTCTGATGAAGGTCTCCAAAATGTTGGTTGTCCCCAGGTCCTGGTATCTCCAGAATTTTTAACTCCGTAATGTCACCTGCCCTGAAATACACAAAAGAGTCCAAGTCTCAGAATTATAATAGTGAAAAGAATGATGAAACTGGGATCATTAGCAAACAGCTACCCCTTTGCAGGTCTGCATATTAATGAGTTATCAGAGCCTAGCAAAGGGGACTGTGTGCTTAAGCACAGGGCTTAGCCACCAGCTATCCAACTGGCACAATGCTGGCCTTTAAAAAGAAGCTATTGCTAATAACAAAACTATATTAATCTTACAGTCCCACAATGTTTAATGGCTTTTCTTCATTCATTCACTCTCTTGCTCATTCCACAGGCATATACATAAAACACTTACTATATGGTAAGCCCTGCACTGGGAACTATTTTGATCTGGTATACAGAGATGAAAATCCTATGTGCCCACAGGAACTCAGTCTGGTTGCGGAGTCAATCAAAAGTCTTAAATGGGCTGGGCACGAAGGCTCATGCCTGTAATCCCAGCACTTTGGGAGGTTGAGGCAGAGGAATCACTTGAGGCCAGGAGTTCAAGACCAGCCTGGTCAACACGGCGAAACCCCATCTCTACTAAAAATAGAAACGATTAGCTCGGTGTGGTGGTGTGCACCCGTAATCACAGCTACCCAGGAGGCTGAGGCATGAGAATCACTTCGCCCTGGGAGGCAGAGGTTGCAGTGAGCAGAGATAACACCATTGCACTTCAGCCTGGGTAACAAAATGAGACTCTGTCTCAAAAAAAAAAAAAAAAAAAAGGCACAAAAATTTTTTAAGTGTTAAATGTTATGACAGAGGTGTACATAGGAGACTAGAGAGCCTAAAAGCAAAATATTTAAGTTAATCTGGTGGAGATGAATGCAATACTTAAGCTGAGTCTGGCCAGGGCAGGGGGAATGAGTGGCTAAGCAAAGAACAGTAGGGAGAAAGGCATCTGAGGCAGGGGCTCAGAGACTGAGGACATGTAGAAAATATGGCCCACGTGAAGAACTGCAAATGTTATGGTGATACTAAAGGGAAGGATGCCTGTGGAAAGCCATCAGGAAGTAAGGCTGCAGAGGTAACCAGGGACCACATCGTGGTCATGACGGATTTTCCTGGTGGCTACAGGGAAGGAGAAGAAACAAGAGGCAGTGGCACCAGTTAGAAGACCAGGCAAGAAATAAGAGGGGATGAACCAAGCAAGTGCTAATGCAAAGGCAGAGGGGAGAAGGGATCAAGAGACATTTCAAATCCATAGAAGTCTGGTAATTGAACACAAGGATTACAGAAAAAGAAGAGTTTATTATGACCCCTAAGTTTCTAACCTGAGGGAAAGATCTTATTAGTCATAAATAATGGGTATGCCCTTAGAAAAAGAAATCAACAGGAAAACATAATGAGACTAGCTCCAAAAATCTTAAATAAGATATCTTGTGGGGTATCCAAAGGAAATGACCAGCAGACAAGGTGTTTGGCTCATAATGGGTCTAAATTAAAGATGTGAGGTCTCATTAATGTATAAGGTACACATGAGATTGTCTAGAGAATCAAAGCTAAGAAATGAACCAAAGATAAACCCTGAGTAGTTCAATCTTAAGACGTGAGTGGAAGAAAAGGAACATAAAAAAACAACAACAAAAAAGTGGAGGAATAGAGGAATATGTGGAACAGATGCAAAGAAAATCCAAAGAGGTGACAGAGAAACTAAAAAATGGTACTTTAAAAGCTAGGGAGCATTTTATTTTTATTATTTTAGAGATAGTCTTGTTCTGTCACCCACGCTAGACTGCAGTGGTGCTATCGTGGCTTACTGCAGCCTCCAACTCCTAGGCTCAAGTGATCCTCCTGTCTCGGCCTCAGGAGTAGCTAGGATTACACAGGCACATGCCACCACGCCCAGCTAATTTTTAAAATTTTTCTTTTGTGTAGATGGGATCTCACTATGTTGACCAGTCGGTTTTGAAATCCTGGCCTCAAGTGATTCTCCTGCCTTGGCCTCCCAAAGTGCTGGAATTACAGGCATAAGCCAATGCATCCAACAGGGAGCCTTCAAATGAGACTGGGATTGAGATACTGTCAATGAATTTGGCCATTAGCTTATTTGTAACCTTGGCAAAAGGTAATTCAGCAAGATGATAAAGTTAGAAAAAAAGATAACAGTAGGGTAGGGAGGGTCTAGAGAATGAAGCCACAAAAGATAGTGAAAGCACACTATTTGGCTCTGACAAGGATTATGAGTTAAAGGGAAGCAACACGACAACACCTAGTGGCAAATGCAAGGTCTAGGAGAGAGAGTTGTTTTTAATACAGGGGAGGCCAAAAAATGAGTATCAGGAAATAAGCAGTACAGGCCAGGCGCGGTGGCTCCCACCTATAATCCCAGCACTTTGGGAGGCTGAGGTAGGCAGATCACTTGAGGCCAGGAGTTCGCGACCAGCCCGGCCAACATGGCGAAACCCCATCTCTACTAAAAATACAAAAATTAATTGGACATGGTGGTGCATGCCTGTAATCCCAGCCACTTGGTTGGGAGGCTGAGGCGGGAGAATTGCTTGAAACCCAGTAATGGAGGTTGCAGTAAGCTGAGATCACACCAGTGTACTCCAGCCTGGGCAACAGCAAGACTCTGTCGAAAGAAAGAAAGTAAAGAAAGGAAGAGAAAGGAAAGAAAGGAAAGGAAGGAAAGTAAAGAAAGAAAACAAAAGAAAAATAAAAGGAGTGAAGCAACATAAAGGTTGAAATGGAAAACACAGAAGAGATGGAGCAAGGTCTCAAAGGAGGTAGAAAGGGATAGCCTCTAAGCATACATAAGGGTAGCCCTGAACAGACGGGTAACTTCTGAAGAGACTGCAGAGGAGATAAGCAATATATATGCTGGTATGTGTAGGAAGGGAATCGCTCAGAAAATCAGGGAAGCTCTTGCCTGACAGCCTATTTTTTTTTTATTTGTACAGAAGAATGGAAGGCTATCTGCCAAACTGGTGAAAAGAGAAATGTGAAGAAATAAGTGAATTTGAGATCTGTTGGTAAATACTAAGAAAAAGACTTTTCCATAACGAAAGACTTTAGCTACTTGCTGCAAAGTGTTCTGGGGATAAATCACAATACCAACCTACAAAGAGAGAAACATTTATGCATGGGAATAAAATCATTAAGGACCTTAGATTGAGAAAACACAAATACAAAACCAAGAAAGAACATATAAAACCATAAAAGAAAAAGGTTATTCTGATTTGACATATTTATATAATATTGCATGCTTAACAAAGATAAGAATCATTGGCTGAGAACAGATAAGGATCACTGGATAAGAAACACTGGCTGGGAGCTAATTACAATACAAAGTCCCTGCTGGGAACAGCAGGTGGACTGTAAGACCTAAGACTGCCAAAATCTCACACTTAACAAGACTCTACTTAAAAGCAGCCATATGCAAGAGAATATCAGCAATCAGATCTAGGTTCAAGCTCCGCGGACTACCAGGTTGGATTTGGAAGAATCAGTCAACACACTCACCGGAAGGTGACTTCTGGAACAAGACACTTCACTCCATTATGGAAAGGCCGGGTGAGGGAGATGGTCTGGCTGACCTGATCCACAGCTGACACTCTTCCCTGATAGACACCCAAGCTATCTCCACAATTGATGGACACAATACTTCCCAGCCAATCTGTAGCCATGTTTCAGATGTGAGACCACTGTGAAGAGAAGGAACTATTCAGTGTACCTTGCTAAAAACACAAACTTTTAATTAAATTAAGCAAATATATCAGGCTTTGTCCAACTGGTTAATAAAACATATTCTATCACATTGTTAACTAAGGTAATAAACCACAAAAAAAATTAAATTTTTTTCAGAAGTATGCATATTAATAAGCAATGTTATTTAATACATATAAAGATCCTAGAATTGCTTTAAAGCACATACATTAAAGATAATACTTATATACATCAAATCACACAAAGTATAACCTGTTTATTCACACAAACTATAACCTGTTTATATTGCATTTTAACAAATCTGTCAAAATGCTTTCAAAGAGAATATGTGGCTGGGAAATAATATATTAAAAAAACAAATACTGATAATGCCCCTCTTTGCTGATGACAGTAATAAATTCTGGGTATTTTATTTTAAAAATTTTATTTAATTTTATTATTTTGAGACACAGAGTCTTAGCTCTGTCACCTAGCCTGGAGTGCAGTGGTGCCATCATAACTCACTGCAGCCTCAACCTTCCAGGCCCAACCAATCCTCTCGCCTCAGCCTCCTGAGTAGCTAGGACTACAGTCTGGTGCCACCATGCCCAGCTAATTTAAAAAAATTTTTTGTAGAGACAAGGTATCGCTACGTTGCCCAGGCTGGTGTCAAGCTCCCGGCCTGAAACAACCCTCCCACTTGTTAATGAAACATCAACTTCTGCATAATGTGCTTAATACAGCACGTAAAAGAAGAAATTTATAACTTTAAGTGCTTGTATTAGGAAAGAAAGGTCTAAGATCGACAATCTAAGCTTCCATCTTAAATATCAGTTAAAAAAGAGAACAGATTAACCTGATGTTAATAGAAAGGAAATCAAGAGCAGAAACCAATGAAATAAGAAACAATTAAGAAAAATAAAACAAAACTAGTTCTTTGAAAATAATAAAGTTGGCAAATCCCTAATCAAGAAAAAAAGATAAAACACATATTATTAATATCAGAAATGAACAAAAAGACATCATAGACACTAAAAAATAACTTTACCACAATAAATTTGACAACTAAAGTTATCAAAACTGATATAAGAAAAAATCTGAACAGCTGCTTGTCTATTTTAAAAACTGAATTTATCAACAGAATAAGACAAGACACAAACGAGGAGAAAATATTTGTAAAAGACATATTTGATAAAAGGTCTGTTATCTACAATATACCAAGAACCCTTAAAACTCAACAATAAGAAAACAAACAGCCTGATTAAGAAATGAGTAAGGCCGGGTGCAGTGGCTTATGCCTGTAATCCCAGCACTTTGGGAGGCCCAGACAGGCAGATCACAAGGTCAGGAGTTGGAGACCAGCCTGGCCAATACAGTGAAAGCCCATCTCTACTAAAAATACAAAAAAATTAGCCAGGTGTGGTGGTGAGCACCTGTAGCCCCAGCTACTTGGGAGACTGAGGTGGAAGAATCGCTTGAACCCGGGAGGTGGAGGTTGCAGTGAGCCAAGATTGTGCCACTGCACTCCAGCCTGGTGACACAGTGAGATGCCGGCTCAAAAATGGAAAAGAAAAGAAAAGAAAAATAAAAGGAAATGAGCCAAGAGACCCAAAAGGACACTTCACCAAAGACATGGACATGGCAGGCAAGCATATGAAAAGATGCTCTACATCATGTCATTAGGGAATTAATGGAAATGCCACTACACACCTGTCAGAATGGCCAGAATTTCAAAACACTGACAACACCAAATGCTGATGAAGATGTGGAGCAACAAAAACCATCACTCATTGTTGACAGGAATGCAAAATGATGCAGCCACTTTGAGTATGCACTTTTCTTTCTTTTTTTTGAGACCGAGTCTTGCTCTGTTGCCCAGGCTGGAATGCAGTGGCACAATCTCAGCTCATTGCAGCCTCTGCCTCCCAGGTCCAAGCAATTCTCCTGCCTCAGCCTCCCAAGTAGCTAGGACTACAGGTGCACAGCACCACACAAATAATGTTTGTATTTTTTTTTTAGTAGAGACAGGGTTTCACCTTGTTGCCCAGGCTGATCTCGAACTCCTGACCTCAACATAGTCGACAGGTTCTCGGCAACTGTGACTTTAAGTAAATCAACACATAATGAAACCAATTTACCATAGGTTATTTGATATAAATGAGTTTAGTTTTTATGGCATATTTCTGGTCACAAAAACATCACCAATCTTCTAAAGAACTGCTCAAATGTGGAAGCAATCAAGACATCCTTCAGTAGGTGAATGGATGAATAAACTGTGGCACACCCAGACAATGGAATATTATTCAGCACAAAAAAGAAATGAGCTATCAAGCCATGAAAAGACATGGAGGAAACTTAAGAGCACATTACAAAGTAAAAGAAGCCGATGTGAAAAGGATACATACTGTATGATTCCAGCAACAAGGTTTTCTGGATAAGGCAAAACTATGGAGACAGTAAAAGGTTCAGTGGTTGCCAGTGGCTGGTGGGGGGCAGGGGAGGTGAACAGGCAGAACACAGGGAATTTTTTCAGGGCAGTGAAAGTATTCTGTTTGTTACTATAATGGTAGATATGTGTCATTTCAAAACTCATAGAATGTACAACACCAGGAGTAAACCCCAATGTTAACTACGGACTCTGGATGACAATGATGTGTCAGTGTAGGTCCATCAATTGTAACAAACATGACTGTGGCGTGGATGGTGACAACAGAGGGGGCTTGTTGGGGGGGCAACAGAGAGATATATGGGAACCCTCTGTACTTTGGGTTCAATTTTTTCCCTGAAACTAAAATTGCTCTAAAAAATAGTCTATTTAATAGAAAAAAACAATTTGATTATGTAACCTAAAACCTTCCTACAAAGAAAAATTCAGGCCTAGATAACTTTACTGGCTTTTTCTTTTTAACTAAGTCTGAACTGGATAGCTTTACCAGTTAATTTTATCCAACATTTTAGAAAAATTTAATGTCAATCTCATACAAACTTTTAGAAAACACAGGAGAATGAAGCTGGACGCAACAGCTCATGCCTGTAATCCCAGCACTTTGACCAAGGCAGGCGGATCACTTGAGGTCAGGAGTTCCTGACCAGCCTGGCCAACATGGTCTCTACTGAAAATACAAAATAAACCCTGTCTCTGTTAAAAATACAAAAATTAGCCAGGCGTGGTGGCACACGCCTGTACTCCCAGCTACTCAGGAGGCTGAGGCAAGAGTATTGCTTGAACCTGGGAGGCAGTGGTTGCAGTGAGCCAAGATCACACCACTGCACTCCAGCTTGGGTGACAAAGTGAGGCTCCTTTTAAAAAAAAACAAAAACAAAAACGAAAAAAACAAAAAACAGCTGAGTGCAGTGGCTCACACCTATAATCCCAGCACTTTGGGAGGCTGAGGAGGGTGGATCACTTAAGGTCAGGAGCTCGAGACCAGCCTGGCCAATATGACAAAACCCCATCTCTACCAAAAATATAAAAAAAAGAATGGCTTCAACCCAGGAATGGAGATTGCAGTGAGCCAAGATTGCACCACTACACTCCAGCCCAGGTGACAAAGTGAGACTCTGTCTCAAAAATAAAAAAAGAAACAAAGAAAAGAAAAACACAGGAGAATGAAATACTTCCCAATTTGTTCAATGTGACTAGCATAATCTGATGTGAAAAAAAAGATCAACATCCTGCACAAATATAGGCCAAAAATCCTCAGGAAGATATTAACAAATGAAATCCAGCAATAAATTTTAAAAGTCTAATATATCACGTATATTTAGGTCTCTACTCCTAGAATGCAAAGTTGGTCTGGTATTTTAAAAATCAATCAATTTTAGGCTGGGTGTGGTGGCTCACGTCTGTAATCCCAGCACTTTGGGAGACCGAGGTGGTCTGATCATGAGGTGAGGAGATCAAGACCACCCTGGCTAACATGATGAAACCCTGTCTCTACTAAAAATACAAAAATTAGCCAGGTGTGGTAGTGGGCACCTGTAATCCCAGCTACTTGGTGGGCTGAGGCAGGAGATTTCCTTGAATCCAGGAGGAAGAGGTTGCAGTGAGCTGAGAGCACACCACTGCACTCCAGCCTGGGTAACAGAGCAAGACTCCATCTTGGGGAAAAAAAAAATTACACACCACCCAGGTGGGGTTTATTCCAAAGATGCAATGCTGACTCAATATCAGAAAACCAGTCAATATAATCTACCATATCAACAGGCTAAATAAGAAAAACACATGTTCATAGCAACTGACACAAAAAATGCATTTGACAAAATTTAACACCCATTCATTCTTTTTTTCACAAAGCCTCTCAGAAAAATGGGAACAGAGAGGAATTTCGTCAATCTGGTAAAGAGCATCTAAAAACCCCTTCAGCTAACATTAAACTAAATGGGGAAAGACTGAATGCTCTCCCTATAAGAACAGGAACAAGGCAAGGATGTCCACTCTCACCGCTCTAACTCAATATAGCTCTAGAAGTTCTTGCGATAAGACAAAAAAAATAGATATAAAAGGTAAACAGGTTGGAAAGGAAAAAACAAAACTGTCTCCATTTGCAGATGACATGACTGTCTATGGAGAAAATTCCCATAATCTACAAAAAGTCTTAGAGCAAGTGAGTTCAGCAAGATTGTGGGATACAAGATAAACATACAGAAGTCAATCTTATTTCAGTATACTAGCAATGAACACATGAGCACTGAAAGTTAAAATATAGTACCATTTATAATTGCTCAAAAAATACAGTACTAGGTGTACATCTTAAAAAAAAAAAAAGGGGTACAGGACGTGTATACTGAAAACTATGCAACACTGAGAAAAAAATAAAAATGCTAAATATAACAGGTATAACATGTTCATGGATTAAAAGACTCAACATAAAGTATGCAAATTCTCCCCAAATTGGTATAACAGATCAATGCAATTCTTAGCAAAATCCCAGCAAAATTTGTAGATATATCTAAAATTTACATGAAAAGGTAACTAAAATAGCTAAATCAATTTTTTTTTGAGATAGAGTCTCACTCTGTTGCCCA